CATCTATTGGTTCTATTATAGGTAAAGTTCAAAGTTCCTTTTTTTTAATATAAGAAAAGGTCAAATAAGTGAGCATTATCATGCACGTTAGTGGCAATACTAACAAACAGGTTACATGTTTTATTTTCCAGCTCTAATTCCATCTAGAATCACAAAACAATGGTAAAAAACACACCCAGGCTAAATTTAACCTCCTTCTGCTCAGACAACTGATGCATTATGCAGAGTTGGTGTGGCATGAAGTACTCAGAGTACTATTCGAACAATGCAGCACCACAGTTGTGCACGTCAGTCAGGCAGTATACTCACCGGCTAGCACCAGCGCCAGTAAGCCACAAGTTTAAATTAAAATTGGAAAACCATTGGGGAAAAGAGAAGAAATATGAATTCAGAGAGTATATGCGTGAAGATATTTTCAACAGATCTGAGTCGTGGCGGTGCATCAAGCAGTTCAACCAAAAACAGCAAAGATGAAATGAAGACAAAGATGGACACAAACTGTCCTGGCAGAAAATAAAGGAAGCAACAACTGGATTAAAAAAAAACACTGATTGAAATTATAATGTAGCTACCCATAATCCATTTGACAAGTTCTACAGATACCTAATACTCCTAATAAAAAAAGATTTTACTCCTTGATTTACAATTATGAGGAAAATTCAGAAACAAGTGAAATATATCAGCCCACATTCTCAAACAATCAGTAAAAAACTGTTTAAAAATAATTTTGTTTGTATCAATGAATAAATGTGCCACTCTGACATGTGTAGGAGGCTCCAGCTACTAAACAGATGCTGGCATAGGTTCCCCTAAAGATCCAGAATGGACCCTGTAGAAATGAAATATCTTACCACCAACACGTGTTCTAGTAGTCCCAGATACCCAGAGGCACATTCATTGCCGTAACGTAGAGCTCGCATCTGGACGTCCCTGCTGACATCTGGATGGTATGCAGCCTCCTGAAAGACACACAGAAGGACAACAAAGTCTCAGCTAAACACAGAATATACAGGAAGTGGACCATCACCAAGTTAGTGTACACTATTCAACATGAATTGACTGTGAAGTGAGGCTGTAGAAAAACATGAATTGAATATCCAACAATGTTCAGTCAGGTCAACTGGACAGTTTCTTTACTTGTTGAGACGTTTCGCCCTCCATCCGAAGGGCTTCATCAGTCTGAGGAAACGCCAAACAAAACTGATTCTCCAACAGCCTGCTCCAAAGTGGAAAAAAACTGTTATGTTGGTGCCTTAGACTGATGAAGCCCTTCAGATGGAGGGCGAAACGTCTCAACAAATAAAGAAACTGTCCAGTTGACCTGACTGAACATTGTTGGATATTCAATTCATGTTTTTCTAAAGCCTCACTTCACAGTCAATTCATGTTGAATAGTGTACACTAACTTAGTGATGGTCCACTTCCTGTATATTCTGTGTTTAGCTGAGACTTTGTT